ATGAGTGTATCTTTATACATGAAAGAAGAAATTACTATAAAATTATTCACCAGTAACACAGGAAGATTTACAATATGTTGAATAAATTTAAAATCAGTTCCCACATCGGGCAAGTAGCCTCAAGTCGGTCTCACATCAAGTAGTCTCACATCGGGCAGCTACCGGACGCTACTCGCTATTAACCCCTGAAACAGACTTTACCCCTGAGAACGAGACCACTAGCCCACTAGCCTGGTAATTATTGACTATTTTTACTGACCGTAGTTTAAATCGAAAACGAAGCAACGCAAAAGTTTACGTCGAGAACTACCACGGAGTCTGGGTATTAATTAGATGTTGTGTAAATTTCATGCAGAATCGTTCAGTAACGAGAGATTTGTGAACTGTTCAGTTGCGCAAAAAAATTATTTCGTTTCAGTCGCGAACAAAATAATGTAAAAAGCTATTATAATTCCTCCACTATTGCATTTCTTCTAACAGTTATGTCTTCAATTTCACTGTGGTCTTCCTATTTTGATAGTCTTTGATAGTCTGCCGTGGTCGAGAGCGGACGCTCGTGCTCGTGGTCCCAAATTTCTAAATTTTTAACTTTTTACTGTGCCGTTTTCGGAACTCTTTTCGCATTTTTTTATGATCCGTGCCAGAGAATAACCGAATTTCAGTTCAGTTCAGTGAAGTCAGTAAAAGTGAGTGCAAATAGAATGAACAAGCCAAACAAGTGAAAGTGTTTACATTTTTGAATAACGCGGACTTGTAGAGTCAGTGAGGGTTGCCGCGCGAGGGTAACGCCCACGCCCTGGCCCACGTGGGACAATAAGCCTTTGTTCTCGCGCCTACCTCTTCCTAGCCTAGCTCTTCCCATCAACACCTAAGCCGCTGAGATCGCCGCTCTCTGAAAGCCGCTTGCTCTCAAGTCTGTAACAATTTTGAACAATCAAACAATTTGTACAATTTTTACTCAACTTGATTTCGGTTTTTAACTTGTGTTTATCTAGCTCTTGCATTTCCCTCGGCAGCTGCAGCTCAGCTGTTCCTCAAAATAATAATAATAATAATAGCGGTTTCAGCGTTTAGTAGGCCGTAGGCCTGTCGCCGATTCTTAACATCGCAGAACATCTACAGCATTTTGCGGTCTCGAACTCGCAACTCACTGCTTCAATTCTGCTGTGCTTAACCACTCGGCCTCCTTGCCGATTCTGGCCAGAAACTGGCGCACAGAGCTGGGATCGAACCCGCGCCTCTCTGCGCCAATCTTAATTGTACTCTGAACTGTAACCACTGGGCCACCCTGCCCGTATCAAGCCGGAATTTTCAAGGGAACTTTACTCTACTCAACTCAACTCAGTTTTGAATGTTTCTCCGTCATTTTCTGTATTTTTCTCCGTCCTTTTCTCCGTTCAAGAGAACTAGTTCGCGCATTTAATAATTTAATAATGGCTGGACAGAAAATAAAAAAGATAGTCGAAAAGCCCTCTACGGCCTCTAGAACACAAAATAAAATCAAATCAGCCCAGCTAGAGACGAAAGTTTGCAAGTACTGCAAAGAGATCTCTTTGAGCGAAGTCCAGATGATCACCTGTGAACTATGCGAAGATCTCATTTGTATCAGCTGTTCAAAGTTGAGCTCTAAGGAGTACACATTTCTCCAGAAATCTAAATTGCTTCATTGGTTTTGCCGTGATTGCGAAAAACCAACTCTTGGTGCTCGAAAAAAAAGAGAGGAGTCGGTGGAAGAGCACTGCAATGAGTCGAAATTTTTGAATGATGTAGTAAACTCCTTGAGTGAGATGGTGCACTCGCTGAGTGATAAACTGAGCTCGCTATGCAATGAGCTGACTGAAGTGAAGGCTCAGTTGAAAAATACGGAAGAAATGGAAGTAAAGAACAAGACAGCTGATTTATCTGAAGTCGCTAATGAGAGCTCACGTGAATTGCTTGATAGAGAACGTAGGAAGGCCAATCTGGTCTGGTTTGGGATTCCTGAAAGTAACGCATCTGATGCGAAGGACCGAGTGATGGATGACTCGGCCTTTGTTGTAGACTGTTGTAGCAAGGTACTCAACACATCGATTGATGTTATATCTTGCAAGAGGCTACGCTCGAAGGATGCTGCTGGCAACACCTTCAGACCTCTGCTGGTGACTGTAAAGGATTCTGCTCAGGTCTGGAGCGTGCTGAAAACAGCGAGAAAGCTTGGAGAATCCGCTGATTACAAGTCAGTTTTTGTAAAGAAATATTCCACCCCCTTGGAAAGGGAGGTTTTTCGCATGAAGTGGCAGGAGAGAATCAGGCGGAAAGGCACGGAAAATCAGGTCAATCACTTCCAAGCTGCCAAGACAACACCGGCTGCTCACGGACAGTCGGAGGAGATGGAGGACAAGTAATTAGTAGGAATGATGTCCGTAGATCAAGGCCTGTAAATAATCGATGACATCGTTGGCGCTCCAAGTATGAACGCGTTCAAGAACAGACTAGATAAAGCTATGGAAAAATATATGTTCAGATTTGAAATGCCTAGCTCCTTATCGAACCCGGTGGAAGTCTAGTAGCTACTTCAATCTATCGCCAGTCATGAAAAGATCCGGTCAAATGACACGAGTTTAGATCTATGAACAAGGCACGAGAAGGAAAAGAATCGGCGACAGGCCACATCAGGCCTACACTTCAGCGCCGACATCACTATGTTATGTTATGTTATTTTGCTAGATGGGCAACTGCGATGTCATTATACATAGTAATATAGCCACCTGAAAGTGTTTATGGCGACAAAATGTTGAGCAGATGATTTCTGAAACAATTATTAGTTATTCTAATTACATATTAACTACTGTTGTATGTTTAATTACATATAAACTTATATTTCTCGTTATTTTTGAATAAATTCAAATGAAATTTCGAGGGGATATAAAGTGTTGGCGGCATTTAAACAAGGCTTTTGTTTAAAAATATAAAGGGACTCTAAAATTCGCAGATCAGAAACACCGGTTGTAGAGGCTAAAATTCGAAAATCACTATCGAACCCCGGTCTTTCTATTGTCCATAAACTATTTCTATGGATCACCTCCTACTGTGGGCAGGGTGGCCCAGTGGGTGGGCAGGGTGGACCAGGGGTCAAAGTTCAGAGTACCAAGAGTGGCGCTGAGAGACGCGTGTTCGATCCCAGCTCTGTGCGCCAGTTTCTGGTCAGAATCGACAGGGAGGCCAGGCGGTTAACCAAAGCAAAATTGAAGCAGTGAGCTGCGAGTTCGACACCGCAAGAAGCTGTGAATGTTCTGCGATGTTTAGAATCTGCGACAGGCCTACGGCCTACTAGCGCTGAAACCGCTATTATCATTTCATCAGGGTGCGTCACAGAAACTTACTTATTTGAGAAAACTCCTGTGCGGTTAGTTAGTCGGGTAGAGGGGCGAGAGGAGGTGCATCTGAAGGGGAAAGTTCCCAAGTTCGTTTCTCAAAGTTTCTCAAATAAATTTGCTGTAGTGCAAGAATTAACTGAACGCGATTTTGTTGCCCCTCAAAATGCATGTAAAATGCTGGTTGACAACCTGCCAGAATACGCGGTCGTTTTTTTCAGTGGCGAGGCTCAATTTCACATTTCCGGCTGCGTTAACAAGCTAAACATGCGTTATTGGTGTGGTGTAAATCCACGTGAGTTTCACCAGAAGCCACTTAACTGTGAGCGAGTTACTGTCTGGTGTGCGACGTCGGTAATGGGAATAATTGGTCCTTATTTTTTAAGAAAACGAACGCGCAGTTACCGTTAATGGAGCTCGTTACAGGAACATGATCGAGGAACTTTTTCTTCCAAGACTCGAAGAAATGAACTTTAGGAACGTGTGGTTTCAGCATGATGGAGCCACAGCACACACAGCACGAGACTCGATGAATTTGTTGCGACAACATTCCCCCGACCGCCTCATCAGAGGCGATCTCCAATGGCCGCCACGCTCTCCAGGTTTGACTCCATGCGATTTCTTTTTATGGGGATATTTGAAATTTCTGGTTTATGTCGATCGACCACGGACCATAGCACACCTCAAGAACAACATTCGCGACGTCATTGCCAAAATACCGATTGATATGCTGCATATAGTGGAAACCATTATGAAAAAAGCGACTTCATTAGTTTATGCGCAATGGAGGCCGTCATTTATGAGATATAATTTTCAAAACTGTATGAAAAAAATTTGGGATACTGTTTTCTCGGATAGAAAAAAATTTAAAGCAATAACTGAAGTACTTTTGTTTTTATCGACCTTTCAAATAAGTAAGTTTCTGTGGCGCACCCTGTTATTATTATATTATCATAAAAAATTAAAATTCCTGGAACTTTAAAACTCTTTTTTTAAAGGACGCCTCTTCTTGATATTGCCCAGGAATTCACCTTAAGTGCTGAAAATTGTCCCGGTTTTTATTGCTAACCGGGACAAACCCTCCTGTCCAGTCTCATCTCGTATCGAATGACAAAAATATACCAAACGCAAAAGTCTAGTCAGATCAGTAATTTAATAGGAGACATTACTACAGATCGAATACAAATTCTACTTCACTCGGTATATGCAGTTGACATGAAAAATAAAAGAAGGTACGCAATTCATACATTGTGTGGGTATGAATTGCGTTTTGTGGGTAGATGAAATTGAATTTTGTGCAAACAACAATCAAAACTTTTCGATGAAACTATTACTATACGGTTATGTCTAAGTGGCTACTCTCAGATAATGTTTAATTCTTTGTTGTAGAACTAATTGCTCTGAATCCTTTCTCAGAAAACCTGTCAAATTCATATGTTTCCATAAACTGCTCCAGATGTTCATCCAATATAAATGAAAATATTCTGTATTAGTAACAGGAATGCGTGCTTTTGCTGAAGAGAAAGTGAAACATATTATTGAAATTTATTTATTGAGAGTCTCTTCTGTCGTCAGTACCAATCGCTAATGCAATTTCTTGTACACGAGAATTTGCATGCTGTGATTTGTAACCCTGGAATTCAACATCTCTTTGTGGCAACAGCAGCTGTCAGGCTCGCCACCCCTGTGCTCCCTTCGCCCCCGGACCGCAGCGAAAATGTCTGCATCAGGGGTGAGTTAGTTATTGAATGACCAAAATGATATGTCTTCCTCGTGTTAATTCCGTTTCATCAAAAATGTTATCAGTATTTATGCCACTGTGGATTTTTACTGGCTGTTTGGCACCTCCGACGACTCGTTGTCATCGGAGACGTGATGGAGGTGGTACCGTGGTTGTGTCTTGTGTGCGGCTTTGAGCGAAATTAGCTACCTGGTTAAACCCTTGCCCTCAAAGCAAAATATTTATTACCATATGTAGTGTCAGTAGTGATCTTACAAATTTATTACATACAACATTAATTTTATGAAAAACAACAAGTTGCACGTGGCTTGTATTCATTGAAAATTAATATTTGCTTTCGATCTCTAATCTGTGCTTCGTGGCTCATGCTAATGTTGGTTCTAGAGAATTGACTAAAAATTTCACCTACTTCCAGCAAGGCAATTCTTTTTTCTGAGCTTCTATTTGTGTGTTAGGTCCTTATAGAACCAATGTGTTTTAGAAAAAATTATCATAGGCCTACTTCAATTTTGCATCTGCTAAATTGCTTATGTACAACATACCTAATGGATACCTAACCTCTGTGACTCAGTGACTGTGGGTGGTGGATTTATGCATCTGTTGAATTTTTTCTTCATTGAAAATGGGCCTATAGGCTATAGCTAGCTAAATTTTGTTTTAATTCATTCATGCCCATAGTGGCAAAGCAGAGAGTTTTTTTAGACTCTCCCTCAAGTTCATTTTTTAGTCCTACATGTACCTAGACCAGTAAAGTATCCTGGAATCTGGATACCTGCATTATCATAGTACATAAGAAATTGGTTTAAATCATGTGTAAATGAGCCTATGAGGAAATTAAAAATGAACTGATTCTAAAAAATTTGTGGTTTGTCACTAGGCTATGTTCATGCCTGGCGTGATAGCAATTAGCAGGTAGCCTAAATATTTTTTGACTGGCCATTGGCCAATATGACTATTATGGGGACTGGCTACCCTAAAATTTTCAATTTTGGCGTTTTTTGGTTTTTGATCTCATCTGAAAGCTGGAATTCTGCTCTTTCCAATGGTACCACTGCCATCGCTGTAGGTACGCCAATATTTACGTTCATGACGTCTCTTTAAAGGGAAGCGGGTGGGAGAGTTCTTTAAGTAATTAGATATAAAGTAATTAGCTGCTGAAATCTTTGAATATAGTTTCTACTTGAGTTGTGCTGCAGTTATATGCTTAGTCTCATCTTAAAGCTGACATTCTGAGCTTTCCAACGATACTACTGCGATCCATGTACGGCAATATTGACGCAGATGGCCGGGCTTTGATGGGGGGCGGAGGGTGGAGTTCCTTATCTAAATAGACCTAAGAAAATCACAGCGGCAAGACTACATTACATATCTTGGTGTATCTGGCATCTGAGCTCAGTTACCCTCCTAACATTGTACGTAGTCTCGTAGAGGTGCGCTACAAGTTGCTGCTACTATCCTTGAGTGGATTAAGCTACAGAAGCCTGTAGTTTGGTATCCATGCTACATTGAGTGCCTATTTCGAGGCGCACGGGACTTTGTCGCGCCGTCCTGAAAAGTTTGAAAAGTTCAACTTATTGTCACGGAAAACCTATCTCCTCCTACAGTTTTTAAGCTACAGCAATGAGAGTTATATCATTTGATTCATAAAGACCATATTTATCGACGTGGCCATTGCTTTTTTTGAATTTGTGCATGGATCGTCATATAAATGGGGGAGAAGGGGGGGAGGGGGTGAAAAAAGTGAAAAAATGGGAAAAACGCGCATAAATAAAAAAATATGGGGAAAATGAAAAAAAGCGATGGTTAGGTCAATAGATATGGTCTTTACAAATCGGATGATATGTGTCTGGATGTTGTAGGAGATAGATATTCTGTAGTACCCGTTTTTGTCCGTTTTCTATGAATTTCACGTTTTCTATCAATTTTTTCAAAAAATTCATACAAACAAAATGTTATTTTTTTACATTTTACGTATGTATGTGAAGTTTCATGATGATCGGATGATAACTGTAGAAGTTTTTCCGGAGGGTAGCCGGTCCCCTTAAGTAGGCGTGTAGGCCTATTGAGTATTAACCATTCATCATTCACCACTGACCAGCAAGAGACTAGGTATGTATACCAGACCTCATGTTTTTTAAGGTAATGGAAAATCTGCTGCTTTATTGGTTTATCCAATTGTGTGCAGTGTGCACAATTTAAGTTTTTGAGCTGCCCCACCCTGGGTGGGGCAGCTCAAAGTGGTGAGTGCTGGGTGGGCCACCCAGCACTCACCACGTTGCCAGCAGGGCAAGCTAGGGTAAACACGCCATATTCTGACACTGTGGGTAATTCCCACATTCCTCAACCAAGTCAACTTTTTCCTTTATATTAAGCTTGGTCTTACTTCCATGCATGCGTAGATGGTTGAAAAAGTGACGTCATACTATTGCACGCAAGATTTCAGCAAAACACTAGGTCTAGCGGTAAATGTTGAGATACGCAGAGCAAAAGTCAAAGTCAGCTAGTGAGAAACGTCGAATCACGTATAAAACTTGACAGTTGACTTTGTTTTCCTAAATAGTGATGAAACTGTTAGTGTAGAAAGAATATTATGGTTTGAGACTTTTAAATAAGTTGCTGAATATATTAGGAATCCTTTAACTTAAAGTATACATGTATTTGCTGAATGCTGATTTTAAGTGGTGAATAAATTAATAGATGATTGATTTAAGAGATGGTTTTAGACACGTGAAAACTAATTCTGACACAGGGTGTCGGAATTACAAATTATGATTTAGGAGCGCTGCCGCTTCTAATATGCCGCATTTAGTCACACTGTCGGAATTCAGCAATTTTGTAGATTTGAATTGTAAAGGCTTAATTAAATATGGCAACCGTTTGTGACGTTTTGTTTCCTCATTGCTGGTGCATACGGTGATCTATTTATAGCCATTTATTTCTTGCTACGTCCTTAAGGTGTCAAAATATGGTGTGTTTACCCTATAGCAGGTTGCAATTGGACAGGCACAAAAAATATATATTATAATTTATTGTGGCAAAGCAGAGTTTTTAGACTCTTCCTAAAGTTCAATTTTAAGTCCATAGGCTAGCCTACTCCCTATTGTTATAGTAAAAGTACTAAAAAACTTGAGAGCAAAGTATCATGGATACCAGCATTATCATAGGCTTCGCAAGATATTTGTTTAAATCTTGAGTAAATGAGTAACTTGAAAATGAGTTGATTTTATGACATCACTGGTTTGCCACTATTCTCCCACTTGCCAGAACTGCAGTTGATTGACTTTTCAGCCATGAAAAACCATTCAGAGATGTGTGTCAGTTTTCTGTTGTAATTGGCACTTTTAGATACATCAGTCAAGATCAGTGTTCCATTGCTGTGGGCCAGCTGTCTGTTGAACAAAAAATTTTGAATAGAGAAATTTCTGTTGGAAGTGTGATACTTCACTGCCAATTTTTTTTATTTTTGTAGTACTTATCAGGATGGAAATTTTTCTGCTTGTTACTAAAATCTCGTTGCTCCAAAATGCCAAATTGCAATACATTAAAAAACTTGTCATGATTATGCACTTTTAACAATTTAATAGGTGGTAATTCATCTAGCAGGAATATTGCAGTACCATCAACTGGGGTGACTTTGGCCACAACTACAACAGAAACAAATGACAGCAAAAAAAAATATATATAACTCGCAACTCACTGCAGTGAGTGACAAAGAGTGCATTTTCTTGTCAACAAAAACGTGGTCATGGACTGTGGGACGGACATAACGAGCACAATAGCGCCTTTTTTCCATGAATGTGAAAATGCGCTAATAAACATTGGCCAAAGTCACCCTAGTCACTGGCCAACATTTTATTATTTTGTTTTGATGCAATTTGTTTCTGTTGTAGTTGTGGCCAAAGTCACCCCAGTTGGAGGTACCAAAAATGGCAGGTACCCTAAAATGGAGTGACTTAGACCACTTTTTTTTATATGATGCCATTTTTTTACTCGCTAAATTAAACTTGAATTGAAACCTGCAAAATACAGGTCTATACTCTAGGTTCCCTCACCATAAATTGCTGGCTCCTGCATCTCATAGTTTTTATGGAATTTAAAAAAAAGTGATGGTCTATGTTACCCCAGCGCTTGGGGTATCTTAGACCGGGTGGTAAAATCAATTATATTTTTTGGTAAAATAACTCCAGGTTTTGCTGCATTGTAGTAGAACTCTACTAGTTACATATGCAAATGACAAATTTGAGGAAAGTGTCATAGTTTGAAAATGGGGGGTGCCATCCCCGAATGGGGGAACTCTGACCACCTAATGTCAGCCGTGAAGGGGTAATATTGACCGGCTTGAAAACAAGCAAAAATTACCATATATAAGACTGTAGAGTCTGAAACATAGAGAAACAACATAATAGGTGTATCAAACATGAAATATATTATATATGATAATTTTAAATTAATTTCCAAGCCGGTCTATGTTACCCTGTCAGGGCTGACATTAGGCGGTCTAAGTTTCCCCATTGGGGGGCAGTGCCCCTCATTTGCAAACAATGACACTTCCTAAAATTTTTCATTTGCATGTAACTAGAAGAGTTCTACTACAATGCATCAAAACCTGGAGTTATTTTACCAAAAAATGGAAAAATTGGAGGGGGTTCTCCGACAGGCTTTGAATAATAGCTTTTTTGTGGGTCACATTTTTAATTTTTCAACCTATTAGATATGCAAACTTTTTAAATTTTTCTATTGTGTTATGTAGCCTCAGTATTAGGCCTTTAATGCCCATTGACAAAATTTTTCTATGTCAAATAGTTTTTGAGTTTTGGGGGTTTTTGTTAAAAAAACAAAAAGTGGGTCTAAGTTTCCCTGGGAGTCTAAGTTACCCCATTTTACGGTATGCTTTAGCTTCAGCTTGGAAGCTAGATACCGTCTACCGGGGCAACTAGGGACTGGCGGGGAAACTCGGTACGCACCTCCGACACGGCGTAAAACTGTTATAGTAGCAAAACTAATTTGAATATTGCAAAACTAAATATAGTGGCGTAAACGTCAACATTTTTCCTATCTATGTAGTATAAAGGCAGTCAAAAAATACGACATTTACTAGCCTTGAAAAATTCCTGAAAAAAATGGTGAAAAACGCTGTTTTGAAAAGTTACTTCTGCTAAGGTCTGTAGCAAAAAAAAAAAATTCGCCGTATTAAAAAATTATACCTACATAAAAGTTGCACCCAGGTGTCGGCTTGAAAACGTAATTGGCAAATTTTGCCTATCTCATTAATGGAATTTTTTTGAAGATGCCATTCGATAGCCCTCGCAAAGAGCTATAAAATGAGCCTAAACTTGTTTATGAAATGTTTCATTGTAAGAAGTTATTAACAAAAAACGCTCGAAACCGTCCCGAGTAGCCCCGGTTGACGGTATATTCTGCACCAGGTGCTGATTTGCAAACTCCATAATTTTCAGTCTAAAACTAAAATACAAGAGTTTTCAGCAACAACTATTCTGAATAACATAAACGACAGGATTTTGGAGCAAGGCTACCTTATTAAAAAATGAGGGTTTCAGCCTCATAAATGGATGCTGCTAGATGAAAAATTTTCTACTCCTTTTCAGTCTCTGAAATCTCATGGCTTCAAACTTAATTTAACACATTTTAAATTTAGTATCTTGCAAGAAAACTATATTCACAGTGGAAAAAGTAGATTATTCTATGTCTGGGAATGGAATGGTGTGAGGAATGAACAGATATATACAGTTGCCTTAGTGTATTGAAACACTGGAAATTTACTGTTATTTTATGTGTGGCATCATTAAGGATCCATCTTGGCTCTGTTCTACCACCTCTTCCATCCTTGGGATAATTATCACTTAATTGTGTACCTATAAAAATGTAATGAAGCTGGTGCTTCCTTGATTTCATTTAGTAATTAGATGTATTATTTCTAAACATTCAGGCCAAAACAGCAACAATTTAATTGTGACAAGAACAAGTGACATTAAATTTTTGAGGTAAAATATATTTGGCACCACTTTGCATATTAAATCTGAAAGCTAACAGCCGCGTTTAAACAATTTCTTTGTTTCTTGACAAGTAACATTTTGTGGCCTATCTCTGATTCTAAGCACATGTTGAAATCACATGAACACGCACAAAATGGAATTGCAATGTCATTTTACTGCTGTTGGCTAGATTTATGAAGAGCTAGATTAAGTTAAAGGCTAGATTAAGCTATCAAGCTGCTCATCCTGGTTTTACATTGTAGGCATAGAAATAATTCTTGAGCAGACTACATATCTAGTCTGGTATGCCAGTCGTATTTTCATGTGTTTGGACCAGAATATTCTTTTCTAATTTTCCATGAATTTGATTTTAATAAGAATATTTTTTTTGCAGACTTTGTACACTTACCCAGAAAACTTCCGAGCATTCAAGGTGCTCATTGCTGCCCAGTACAGTGGTGCACAAGTCAAGGTTGACCCTAACTTCCAGTTTGGTGTCACTAATAAAACCGATGCATTTCTAGCGAAATTCCCATTGGGCAAGGTAAGCAATTGTTTGTTAGGCTATAATTTAATTTACTTCCGGATATCATGATAGATCCTGGTATTTGTAGTTAATTTAAAGTGAGCTAAGTTACTTGAGTTCAACTATCAATAATTTATTCACACAATAGCCCTATTCTTGTTTATGAAGTTGGTCAGCCTCTAGTATCTTTCATTCGGAAATGGTTATATATTTTCTACATTTATATTGTACTGTTAGCAATGTGATGACAGCCTTAGCCTTGTGCCGTCATGTGGGGTGACTTCGGCCACCACTACAACAGAAACAAATGGCAGCAAAATAAATAGGTAATAAATGTTGGCCAAAGTGACTGGGGTGACTTTGGCCAACGTTTATTATTTTGTTTTGCTGCCATTTGTTTCTGTTGTAGTGGTGGCTGCAGTCACCCCACTTGAAGGTAGGTAATTATGTATGCTGATGCTCCTATGCTTGACTCATTTGTTTGCAGGTGCCTGCATTTGAGGGCAGTAATGGTGAGCTCATCTTTGACAGCAATGCCATCGCCTATGCCGTCGCCAATGAGCAGCTGCGTGGCAAGAGCACTGCAGACCAGGCGCTCATCCTCCAGTGGATTTCCTTCGCAGGTAAGCGGTCGTAAAATGCGGTGTGACTTGCATTTTTTTGCGGAAAATTTGGGTTTAAACTTAATTACATTATTTTATCTTGAGTTCAAGGACTACTACACACAGGACATGCATAGCCTATGTCCAGCCTCTGCTAGCAGAGGCGATCGCCTACACTATGAAAATGCTGGTGTTTTAGTGGCATCAACAAATGATATGCCCATAATTGTTTCATACAATAGTATTACAAACATGCATTATATTCATCCATGCATTATATGCATCCATGCATTATATTCATCCATGCATTATATTCATCCATGCATTATATTCATCCATGCATTATTCGTTTTCATCCTTCAGTGGATCTCCTTCGCAGGTAAGCGGTCGTAAAATGCGGTGTTACTTGAACCTCTTGGCTGAAAGCCTCGTAGCTGACGTGTGAATTTTTTTTATTTTTCTGCAGCATGTAACCTATATTCTAATATTTGTTGTTTGCAAATTTACATGAAGTTTCCTCATTTCTTGGTGCATTGCTTTTTGATGCTAACATTTCAGCTGTTGATTGTGGTTAGATTTGTATGGTTGTTAACTGTAGTGAACGGCAATTGCATTGATTTTTAACGTTGCTCCACATTTTCATATTATTAATGTAGTTATGTGAAAATGAGACCGGATCGGAACTCGCGATGTTCCAAACTCGTTTTGAATTGAGAGATTCTGTTATCTTAACATGAGGTAGTGTAGGTAACTTGGGTTGCACCCCGCGCCATTAGGCAAAAAAATTTCCTTGGATCCTGCTTTACATACTGCCTACTCATTCTTGCAAATCCTCAATATTTATGTCTTTCGATGGATGATATTTAAAATTCTTTGTTTATCCTGACAATCTTGTCTCTGAATTTAAGAGCTTAATATTATATCACTAAAGATTTCCTCCAAACAATTCCGAAGGCAATCATTGCTGTAAATTCAGAGAACTACAGAAAAAAAGTTACTTGATTTTTATTTAAATTTATGTATCTAAGTTCTTAGTATTATTTAGAAATTCACAGTAAATTCTTTGTTGGTTGAGACAATTCTTCTGATATTGAAAAAAAAACTATTCTGTGAAGTGTATTTTATTTTTAAATAATTAATATAATACAAACACATTTCACTCTTTAAGGTTTTGTCTACTTGAAAGTTTGCATGAAACTTGTGCAATATAATAACTTTGGCATGAACGGCAAGAGTAAAGATGAGTGAACGTCTCTGAGGTGACATCTTCTACACCAAAATTGGATCTTGGTGTGTCTATATCAGGATAATTGCAGATCTGTTTTGCATTGGGATTTGTTGTTCTGGAACCCCTACATCTGCGATATTTGATCTATTATATCAGCGTCTATAATGCTGATATTTCATCACCATCTACCGCCCCTTCATGTCCAAATGGCTTTTTGCCCCCGGCTGACTGCTTGGACTTTAAGTGGAAATTTTGTAACTGCTCGGTCTTTTTAACCATTTTGCAGAATCGAGCATGCGTCTTGCTTGTTGACATGTACGGGATCCAGTGTGGCGGGAGCGTTTGTAATTGCTGACGTTGGTGTGCCGAGTTGAATTATTATTTTTACGTCAGAATGGAATACTGATATAGAGCATTTCCAAACACCTTCATAAGCCTTCCCTATTCTATTGCAGAGGTTGAACTACTCCCTGCTTCATGCACGTGGGTGTTCCCGTGTCTGGGTCTCATGCCCTTCAACAAAGGCTCCAATGACCGCGCCAAAGAGGACGTCAAGAAGTTCCTGTCCCTACTCAATTCCCATCTCCTGACCAGGACTTACTTAGTTGGCGAACGCATCTCTCTAGCCGATATTTCAGTTGCCTGCACCTTACTACAACTCTACCAGGTAACTAGTTTGCTTTTTCGTCAATTCGGTCTAGAAGCTTTATTCTAAATGTCGGATGTTGACTTGTAGCTACTGAATAGGGCAGATGTTTTTTTACCAATTATAGGATTTTTTGTTTTTATCTATTGATAATGATCGATGTATTTTTAATAGACAACGAATGAACTAGATAATGGTAAAGTCTTGGGTCACCGAGCAAAGCATTTTTAATGTGACGTAGGTATTAAGCTTTTAAAGCAATACTTTCGTCACAATTGACGGTAGCGGGTCGGACTCTGATAAATTGTTTCACTAATAGAATGTGGTACAAGAAGCACCAAGTCTCTTCCGTTAAAAACATGATGTTCTGTTTTATATTTGGCGACAAGTGGTCGGATAGCCCGTGTAAATTTTGTCGGCCATTCATAACAACCAAATGGTAATTTTAATTTCAGCACGTTCTAGAGCCTTCGTTCCGTGCGCCGTACCAGAACTTGAATCGTTGGTTTACCACAATGATCAACCAGCCTCAAGTGAAGGCTGTCATAGGCAACTTTGAGCTCTGCTCCAAGATGCTCACGTTTGACAACAAAAAGTTTGCTGAGGTGCAAGGCAAGCTCAAGTCTGGTGATGCAGCTCCCAAGAAGGAAAAGAAGCAAGAAAAGCCAGAGAAGAAGGATAAACCTGCCAAGGAAGCCAAGGAACCTGAAGAGGAACCTGCTCCTGCACCCAAGCCGAAGGATCCTCTGGCTGCGCTTCCCGCAGGGTGAGCTCATTGTGGATGTAAGCTGCTCTCGTAAGCTGAGTTATTTCTTGTCACATTTCTTGAAACGCCCGTCTCGTTGAGTAACTCGATCTTATTATGCATGCAAAAGAGCAATTGACGAAAAGCAATCAAATACAGGTAGAGTATACAATATTTACAAGTATATAATTTGGGTACGGGTACTAAGTTTGATAGCACCATGTTTAACACTTTTTTTAGCGCATTTTCTCATTCTGTCTGTCCGTCCGTCCGTGATCTCAAGTTTTCGTCGAGAAAATGCGCTCTGTCACTCACTGCAGTGAGTACTGAGTTATATTTTTATGCATTACAGTGTGAAAAGATACTGAAAAATTTTTAATTAATAATTAATTATTGGAACTCCGCGCGTCATGAATATTATTCTCGCCCAGTTCATTGGTACCTGAAAAACAAACCGGGTACATAGAAATCCATTCCTGGTCATGATATTTTTGTTAAAGCCTTTGAAATTTGGATTCATTGAATTTTTTTCTATATGCTGATCAAGTTTATGTATAAATTTTCATTAACTTTGTTTCTTCAGTTCGTTCAATCTGGATGACTTCAAGAGATTCTATTCCAATAACGAGGAGGAGAAGTCAGTCCCTTACTTCTGGGAGAAGTTCGACAAGGAGCACTACTCTATTTGGTTCGGCGAGTACAAGTGAGTGATTGAAGTTATATTCGTGCTTCGTCTTTTCTTGCAGCTGTTTATCACACTAATTTTTTGTGGTATGTCGTAGGTGCATTTGTTGCAGCGCATCACTGAATCGCGGCTACCATTGAACAGAGGCATCGACCAAATTATTGCTTATATAAAGTGTAATCTAATCTGACTCTTACTGGAAACGTCTGAACAAGGGCGAAACGTTGCAAATTCTCTTCCATGCTTTATGATGGATGTATGCATTTCAAAATTTTCATTTCATCGACTCTCGTGTATTATGATACCCAAACCTAAAACGAAGAATATCGTTTCAATTGACACTACACTAACAACACTAATGCAATTATTTTAATCGAGCTCGTCTTTCTCTGCGAGTGTATTCCATAGTTTCCTCTCAGACGTTATAAAATTGAAAATAGAGGGGTTTCTCGTGTTCGTTCCTGCCTCCATACAGTTGTTGGGGCCTTGACTCGCAGTGTAAGTGACCAGTTAAATTACCTATCAATGCATCTTCTAGATTTTTTGCAATCGAGACATATTCCAGCTAAAAATTCGAAACGTTTAATTTCTAACTTACATTAGAAACTTCAATTGTTCAGTCCTCAATCAAAACTTTAAGCTGAACAGAAGACCTGGTCAAATTCACATGAAACGTAATTATACTGCATGAGAAGCCCCTATCTTAATAAAATAAATTCTTATATTTCTCAACCCTTGTGTGGAATGTGGATTATCTATCTCATTCACCGCAGAATTTGAGAAATTCATACTCCAATTTCAAGAAACTGTTGCCTCTAGAAATAAGTAGGTCTCAGATCATGTATTGAGAACTTTGAAGTGTTCAAGCGAGTTCTGGTAACTCTTTTCTGTGCAGATTTCCCGAAGAGCTCTCTAAGATCTTTATGTCGTGCAACCTGGTGAGTGGTATGTTCCAGCGACTCGACAAGCTTCGCAACAACGCTTTCGCCTCCGTCTGTGTCTTTGGCACTGACGGCGATAACACCATCTCTGGCGTCTGGGTCTGGAGAGGACAGGAGCTTGCCTTCCCGGTAAATCAAACGCAAATATTCCTCGTGCTGTCAGGGCCAAACTCTAATGACAAACCTCAAATCCTGTAATGACAAACCTCTCTTATCTAATGACCAGAGCTGGGCAGCGCTACTTGGAAATGTAGCGGCGATACCGCTACCGCTACATGCTCTAAATGTAGCGGGCGCTACCGCTACCGCTGCACCCACTAGATTGTAACGGGCGCTACCGCTACCGCTACAGTAAAATGTAGCGCGCTACATTAGCCGCTACAATGGCCAAAATTATTGGAAATCTCTAAATATTTATTGTTCTGCTATTGGGATTTACTCATTAACATTTAATGATAATAAAACATTTTTAAAACATATCAATGCAACTTTATTACAATTAACTTAACCGAACTAGTATGGGTTACTCCAGGGTTGATACAGTAAATAAAAGTTACAGTTATTTTTATGTTTTACCTTCCCTACATGGATGTGAACTTTAATCTACCAATCTAAGAAATTATCCACATATACATATAAAAATCAATCTTTTTTGTATATATATGTGGATTATTTTTGAGATTGGTAGTTTAAAGTAGACATCCATGTAGGGAAGGTGAAACATAAAAATAACTGTAAAAATAACTGTAAGCAAACTGAAAGATGAAAAAACCTGTAAGTGGTAACTGGTAACAACTTAACAAGTAACAACTAACATGTTGACACTAGTAACAGGCTGATGTTGACAACATTACACCGAAATCTTTCGTACAGTTTTATTCTGTAATTTATATTATGTATGTATCATGCTGGTTTTTAAATAATATTTAATACTATTAAGGGAACCGGCTACCCTAAAAATCGGAAATTTTGGCTTTACCGTTTTCTTGACTCATTTTGTAGCTGCTGAAAAGGCGCGTCTAACGCAGTTTACCGCATGTCTGTGCGTGCTATAATTTTTGCGTAAGACAATTTTAAAAATATATATATATTTGAACATTTTTTAACAATATATACAAAGATTTATTTGAATTAAATCTCAGAATCTGTATATATAGATCATTACTCTCGTTAATTACAAAGTGTTTGCACTCGTTTGAAAGCTACAAACGAGACGCCTTCAACAAAGCTACTACGTTACCATAGATGTACATGCAATACTTTTTTGTGTTATTCAGTCTTAAACTTTTATAAAATGATCATTTTATATCATTATTTACAAATAAATGGTATTTATGTCATTATTTGGGTTAATTGCAAAGTGTTTGCACTCGTTTGAAAGCTACAAACAAGACGCGTTTAACAAAGCTACTACCTACCTACCATGGATGTTCATGCAATAGTTTTTGCGTAATGCAGTTGTAAAGTTATGTTAAATGAATATTTTATGTATATATTTATACATAAAAAGTCCCATTTATAGCCTATTATTCACGTTAAATTGAACATAAATAGGTCTAAAGACGCGTGCTGGTACCTTGAATGCAAATAATTGGCAATGGGAAAGCTTGGGCTACAATATCAAGACTTTTTGGTCATATTTTTCTGTTTTCAATGAATTTTACTTTATTTGGCTCCCCTGAACAATTTAAAAATAAAAAAAACGCCATTTTAAAAAAATTATAACTCCAACAGTTTTTAAGCTACGGCAATGAGAGACATACCATTCGATTTGTAAAAAACAGTACCTAGCGACTCTAGAAGCCTTTTTTTTATTATGTGCTTGGTTTAACTTATATATGGCAGGGGGAGGAAGGTGGGGGGGTAAAAATGTGGAAAAATGGGAAGAACGCGAAAAAAAACGATGAGGAAAATAAAAAAATCGGGGCTCTACAGTCGCTAGATATTGTTGTTACAAATCGAATGATATGTGTCTCGACATTGTAGCAAGTGATTTGCAAAAGTTATAAACTTTTCAGAGTACCCCTTATTTGCCGTTTTCTATTAATTCCACGTTTTCTTTCATTTTTTTTAATTTACATGAACAAAAAGGTCTTAGATTTCTGTTTTACATATGTGTACCAAGTTTCAAAATGATCCGTCTGTAAACAAAAAAGTTTTGTTATGGGGTAGCCGGTCCCCTTAAGTAAAATCTAAAGGCTTTATCTATAAATGTAGCGGTAGCGCTGTAGCGGCAAAACCTCGTATCGCTACTTGAATATGTAGCGGACGCTACCGCTACATTGCCTTAAATGTAGAGCCGCTACCGCTACATGTAGCGCGCACCTGCTACCTCTGCTAATGACAAACATCCCTAATCTTGTAATATTACACTGAGAGTCTTCTGCTGTACCTCCCTGATCTTATTTGTATTTCATGCGCAACATGCGTGTCCCATGGTTTGCACTTGAATGCTTTAAAAATCTGATTCTGCTTTGAAAGCATCAATTTTGTGGGACTTGTAAGTTGAATTCTAGTGTTGAGTTGAATTCTAGTGTCTGTAGATTTGATATAAAGCAAGGTAAGCAATATGTTGAGACAGTAATTTCGCATTATTTTAGGTTATCGACAGCTGACTATCGGATTGTCGTGATACGCTCAGATTTGATGTTTAATTCATTTGATCTAGAGTTTAAGTGAAACGAGTTATCATATGTGCCAGAAATTTTATGTAATGAAGTGCAGAACCAAGAATATTTTTGGCTATTACCACTTGAGTGATGTGCTGTGAATTTGATTTACGGATTTAACTTATTGAGTTCACGTTGGTTATATTAATCAAATGTATGAAAAGAAAAATAATTCACCTTCATCCAATGTTGAAAGCACCTTGTATCGTTCTTATTTCAGTTGTCCGAAGATTGGACGATCGACTACGAGAGCTACACGTGGCGCAAGCTCGACGCAGGCACTGACGAGACCAAGAAGCTCGTCGACCAATACTTCAAGTGGATCGGAGAAGATTCTCACGGACGTAAATTTAATCAAGGAAAGATTTTCAAGTAGATGCAAGCACCTGTGTGACCCTGATGAGTGTGCTTGTGTTGCTGCACCGTTCAAGGAAACTAATCCGATGAATTTCTTCTCATTAACCTTTTATGTACGTTTTAGATAATGCGTTTCTGAAACAGCTTCTGTTGAAATCGTTCATTGAGTAAATAGAATTTGCCTGGAATATTACAACGTTCGCATGTTATACTTTGTATTGTGGCAACATGGTAGCTCCTAATGCAAGGAAACGGGATCTTGTGGCTATCTGATGTATGGTCCATACAAATTCATTGAAATTATTACATTGGAGAACTGTTATTTACTTTTAGCGCTCTTAAACTAATCGTCCTGAGTATCTATTTATGTCTGGGCGGTGAAAGATGCTGAAATAACATAGATGAATAATCAAATATCCGTATCATATGTCACTGCCATGAATATCAACACATTAAGCTGTAGTTTTTATCATCGAGGTGCTCTGAGCTTTGAACGAGTTTGACATTTTAGAAGAATTGCAATCCATATTGGGGTTTATCCGCTATGTTTCAATAGCGAATTGTACTTTTTCGGAATTCGTTCTATTTTATTTAAAGATTGCTAATGTTTTAAATTATATGCTTTCAAAGAAAAACATTGATATAGGTAATTGTTAACGTTGTGAGCGAATGGATAATTTCCTCTTCCAGTGTGTAATTTGGGACAACATCGATCAGTTTTCTTATGACACTTTTTCTAACTTGACATCGAGGAACTTGTCAAGCGTCAAGTAACTTGTCATGCGTCAAGGAACATTATTATTGGTTGATAAGCTCTGTGTCTCGGAAGTGGTTCAGTTGGTGCTGCGTAATTAATGGTGACGCGAAACTCCAATTGTACGGCTAGCAGGAGCACGAGACAATGCGACTAGCTTCCCGCCTTAACCTGCTTGACAATGGCCGCATAGCTGTCATCCTACTCGCCATTAGTTTACAAGTGGCGGTCAAAATTGGGTTAACTCGTCCCGCTGTAGGGTGTGGACCAGTGGTTCCTAAAGTGGGCGATAGGAAGTGGTCTTTCCTCCCTCCTAGGGGCGGTGGAAAGATTTTGGGGGGCGGCAGTCAGAAGTTCGAACGTTTGTTTGACTACACACAACAGGTGCAGCACATGACTCCCAGCGATGGTTTTTTTCACCCAGATCTGTTTTTTTAACCTCCTGGGTTTACGTCTCGGATAAATTAACTGCCGGATTCAAGGCTAATTTCCAAATTTAACGATCAAGGAATATCTCTCAAACTAATGAACGTAACTCGATGAAACTCGACACACGTTTTCATTAGGACCTATCGGTAATGTATAGCTCGAGAAATTTTTTTAATTTTGCCTTCATTTGTGAGTTATATTTGTATTGCAATACGGACCGAAATTCACAGTGACAAGGAATTTCTTCCTAACTACTGAACAGATTAGAACGAGATTTTGAATTTACTGTCCTAACTACCGAACGATAATGTTGAGCTTGTGATAATTTTTCCGATTTTGTCTTCGTTCGAGTTTTTTTTTTCACCTTCATTCGTGATAGAAGCAGCAATACGTGCTTAAATTCGCGGTAATCAAGAAATTTCTTCCAACCTACTGATCAGATTTGAACGAAACTTAATATTTGAATAGGTACTCAGTATTGAATATTTTAAATAATTAGTATTGAATATTTTGAGTCCGGCCGTAAATTTGCCCCAGACGTCCTAGGCTTCTAGTGCTGAAACAGTTAAAACAACTGAAAAACATATTTGTTTAATAAATGGGGTTCTATTTGTGAAATACACATTTGTGTTTAACCTTCATATTTTAAAATTGCAGCGTACTAAATTTCGAGAAAGAGGCTTATGTTTTTATATGTGTCTGTGGGGGGCGCTAGAAATTCACTAGGGAGCCTAAGGGGGCGCCAGCCTGAAAAAATTGGGAACCACTGGTGTAGAAGCTGCCAGATGACAATAAAACCTCAAATGAACTCGATGTAGGTAAGGTAAGAAAAATTATTATTGGTGGAAGAATACACGCGATAATTGGTATCATTAGAATTAAAATCGATTCGCTGAATTCAATAGGCCTTGTAAATTAGATGGTAAACCGTCCGTCGACAATTCTACCACCTTTACGTATTCAACGCTGTTATTTTGAACACATCAGGGACGGATTGCCTTTGTCAGAAGCTCATGTACCCGTTCTACTGTAGATCGTAAAACAGCAATTGTTTAGTATATGATTATGAACATTTCAGTATTTTATGATTATGATCATTGAGTATTTTGAAATGTTGAATTGTGTGTCGGCCTCTATTGTCTGGCGAACCAAATTCCGCGGTGCTGCCGTCTCCATATGCTCACGTCCATGGTTGAATTAATACATATTAATTCAACCATCAAAATTACGTCCACAAGAAAGCTGTTGAATTGCCAAGTTATGTGGTTAAACGTTCATTAAAGAGGAGTCAATAATGTTTAATATTGGGGCCACCCCACTGGGCAGGGTGGCCCAGTGGTTACAGTTCAGAGTATTAGGTTTGGACCAGAGAGGCGCGGGTTCGAACCCAGCTCTGTGCGCCAGTTTCTGGTCAGAATCGGCGAGGAGGCCGGGCGGTTAAGCACAGCAGAATTGTAGCAGTCAGTTGCGAGTTCGAGACCGCAAAATGCTGTGAATGTTTTGCGATGTTAAGAATCGGCGACAGGCCTACGGCCTAATAACGCTGAAACCGCTATTATTATTATTATTAATGTTCAGCATATATTGCTCGAATTTCCAACGAGGCGTCAACATTAATATCAAGCGAACAGAACATCTGTTGTTCGCAACGGTCAAGGCTAGGGAGTTCTTAGCGGCGCGTTGTAGGGGATGGCATGCTAATATTAACTCACCGGCAAGTAAGTGGAGTTAGGAGCGTCAGGAATAAATTTTATCAACATCTTAGTGTCAAGATTTGAAAGAAAAAAGAATAAATAGTATAGAACATAGAATCAATTTATAATTGATTTTCATATAATAATACTAGGGATAAGTTATACGCCAATATCTTCGAATATTCTTATTAACGGTAATGAACCTCTGTATCTCAAAATTGCAATAATGGTAGCAAGTTGTGCTCTAATGCCAATAAAAATTTCATCTTGGTTCATTACTAGGCGTTGATATGAATGCTATCAAAATGATGTTAGATAGTTTAATCGGAAGATCGATATCCTCAGACTTTGGGGGTCAAATCTCAATTCAGGACGAAAAATGTTTCGACATGTAAGGCAGCTATTAATGTTAAATTTTTTATTTGTTTGAATGTTTTACTTGATGGAAATTTTACAGTTGTCAACTCAAAATTGCGATTAGAGTTTCATTTCATGTTTTTGGGCCCAGGAAAGAATGTGATGGTCATGGAACCAGGGAAACAATGTTAGGAACATCGTTCACTCTTCAAAAAAAAAAAAAAATCCCCCTGTAAATGCTAAGGCAGTGTGAGCGGAAATCATTGCTACATGTATGTGATTGCTCTTCATCTGTGGAAAGCAATTCGAACAGTAGCTAATGATGTTCGGCCGGTAAAGATAAGCCTGAATATAGAAACGAATTGATTGTAATCCGCTCGAGTTTTTAATGTCAAGGTCATTTTTATTCAAGTCTTTCGGGATTTTTCCATTATCTAGTGATCACTAATCTTCAATATATTGTAGCTGCATAATAACAAATGAGATATTATGGGCTGATGCTCATGTCAGTTTTTTGTACTAGTTTGATTTCGTTATAAATTACGAAAAAAACACGGTTGATATGTAACAGAGGATATGTTTGTTAGTCGGCTGCCGCTAGAGGTAGGCACAAACATAATCAATGTCAACTCAAATGCCTGAATATGTCTCCTAAATGTAATATTTCAGCTGCCATCACATTTTTATTAGCTACAAATTCGAAGAATTAGTTATCAGGCGTGAACTTAGATAAATAGAACGCAGATTTAATAACTGCTTATCAAAAGCACGATAAGTACGTACGTGCATGATAAGTACGCTCTCGGCATGTGAAAAGAAAGATTAAGAGTTTTTCGGAAAGAAATATAGAAATGCAAACAAAGGCAATACAATACATTACAATATATACAATTGTGTTTGCTACATGCCAGATTTACAACAGGCTGCGTACTTAATAGCCAGTTACGTGCCTCGAACAGGCATGGAATGCTTTAAAGAAACAGAAACATGTGTGTGCAACTCTCAGGTTTGAAGCACAATTGTAAACCAGCCATTATATATAAAAGATACTAAAAACTTAATAGCAAAGAAAACTCCACAAAAATTCATAGTAACTTTAAAGAAAACGTTTCGGAGTCCAGCTCCATCGTCAGTTCGAAAATTCTAGAACACAGATAAATCAGTGATTAGTACAAGTCAAGAATACAACGAAAATCCTATATAAAGCTGCAAAACCTACCTATTTACAATTTCAAGCGGGTAAGAGCTAAAAGCTAAATTCAAACTAGGCCTATGTTTAAAAATATACAATGATTCTAAAATGCGCAAATCAGAAACACCGGAACTGGAAGCTAAAACTTTGAAGTCACTGTCAGAAACTGGAACATCGCACTGCTCGGCGTGAACCCGCACAGCCGAATGAGGTGGGCGCGACAGTAAGTTACCAGTTCTACAACTCCTGCCGCTATGTTCTGCGACCCGAGAATAAAGATTGCGAGACGTCATTCCGACGTACGCAGATGCACATCGTGCACAACTATATTTATAAACTAGGGACGCTCGCATATGCACAGGGAGAGTATCTTTATACCTAAAAAAAGAACCGATTTTAAAATGGTTGACCAATATGACACGAAGATTAACATTTGCGAAATACTTAGAAAACAAAAGTTTTAGCTCTCTTGACATAGTTTCGGATGCAGGGCCGAAATATGGAAAAGAGCAATAAACAACATCCCTATTGTCGCGCTCGGGAGCAACCTCATAGTACCGCTTGGACATGAATTTCTTTATTTGGGTAAACACCAGATTAGTCGGAAATCCATTAAGCGAAAATATATTGCGCAAAAATTCGAATTCAGCGTGCAGAATATTGTA